GGTTTCACCTTTTTAGCCAGGCTGGGACTACTGGTGCCTGCCACCGTGCCTGGCTAATTTTTCTATTTTTAGTAGAGACGGGGTTTCACCTTTTTGGCCAGGCTGGTCTTGAACTCCTGACCTTAGATCATCCACCCGCCTCAGCCCCTCAAAGTGCTAGGATTACATGAGCCCCTGCGCCTGTTCTGGGTAGCTGTTGATGGGTGATAAAGGTTTGACTGGGCTGCTATTTTTCTGGTAATATTCATGTGAGTTATGATAATAGTGAATACCTGTAGTGAGCTGACCATGTGGCAGACACCACCCTAAGTGCCTTACAAATGTCTTCACCTTTTCTCTTCACAATAGCCCCAGGAGGAATCACTAATGTTAGTGCCTTTGTCCTTGAAGAAGCTGAGCTCAAAGGTGAAGGAACCTTCCTGATGTTCCTCAGGGAAGGGGTAGGAAGCCAGGGCTCAGCTCATCTGGTTCCTCCCAGGCCCCTGAGCTCTTTACGCTCTGCTGGGCACTCCTAGAGGGAGAACTTGGCCTCTGAGGGGACTGCAGGTGCCTGTTTCTCTTTACCTCCTCTCGGGATCTTTTTTCTCTGTCTCTTTTTTTTTTTTTTTTTTAAAGACTGGGTCTTGCTGTGTTGTCTAGGCTGGAGTATAGTGATGCGATCTTGGCTCACTGCAGTCTTGACCTCCTGGGCTCAAGTGATCCTCCCATCTCAGCATCCCAAGTGGCTAGCACCACAGGCATGTGCCAATATGTGTAGACAGGGTCTCACTATGTTGCCCAGGCTGGTCTCAAACTCGAGGGCTCAAGCAATTCTCCTGCCTCGGCCTCCCAAAGTGCTGAGATTATGGGTATGAGCCACTGCACCTGGCCCCTCCCCTCTCCTTTTTCTATTTTTTTAAAGAGATGGGGTCTTGCTGTGTTGCCCAGGCTAGACTTGAACTCGTGGCTCAAGGGGTCGTCCCGGGTTGGCCTCTTGAGTAGCCGGGATGTCACCGCACCCAGCTGTCTCAGGACCTTTAGTCTTTGTTTCCTCCAAGTGGTTTTTAAGAAGCAGCAAGTCTCTTGAGCCTATCAACAGGCAGGAGTGAGACTTGACCAGCGTGCAGTTTTGTGAAGACCATTTTGATTTTCCTGCATCTTCTATCTCTGGCCTGAATCTCTCTCTGCCTGTCTGGAACCTACTTTCCTCCCCTGCCCGCCGCTTCTCTTTGGCGCTGGACAGGTCTCCAGGCTCACACACCCACCGCTGCTCTCATCTTTTCAGGAAGGCGAGAACAATGACAAGTTCTTCACCCACCCCAAGGATGCCAAGGCGCTGGCGGCCTACCTCTTTGCACACAATCACCTCTTCTACCTGATGGAGCTGGCCACAGCCCTGCTGCTGCTGCTGCTCTCCCTGTGCGAGGCCCCCGCTGTCCCTGTGCTCCGGCTTGGCATCTACGTGAGTGCACATGCTTCTCACACCCGGAGGGGAGGCTGGGAGCCACAGCTTTCAGGACAAGCGACAGAACTCCAAAAAGGAACGTTCTGGGAGGGCAGACACTGTGAACAGACTTAGAGAGACACGAGGCGGTCCTAAAGGCCTTGGGGGCAGAAATGCCTGGTGTCCCTGCTGGAGTGAATGGCCTTAACCCTGTCTCTCTGGGATTCTGACCTCCAGTAAATTCCAGGGAGGGGAAGTATCCCATTGGCCCTGCTCAGGACCAGTGCCCACACCTTGGCTCCGGGTGGGCAGGGCACCCAATGGACACTCCCACTGCTCTATCTCCAGCCTCAGAGGAGAAAGCAGTTGGATGTGGTCACTGTGGGAGGGGGAAGATGTTTCGTGGGCAGCTCCAGCCCCATAGATGTCCCCATGCCCAGGCCCAGCCATCATTCAGTGGGGGCCAGAGCAGGTGTGGAGCTGTGCTTGTCCCTTTCCTTCAAGGAGTGTGTAGGAGGCACAGAAGCAGGGAAGGAAGCTTGTGCCTGTTGAGTTAGGAAGCACCTATCCAGCCTGGCTGCCGAGGCCCTCCATGACTCAGTTTCCCTGTTTCTCCCTCTTCATGCCAGAAATTCACAGCTCCAGCCACTCTGCATTCCTTCCTCTGCACGCCTCCCCCATGCCGTCCCATGTGCTGAAATCCGTCCGCCTATCCCTTCACTCTGTCAGTTCCTGCTCTCCGGAATGTCCACAGGCCCTAGAACTCCCCATCCCCAGGAGGAGGAGCTCTCCTGAATCTGTTTCCCCGGGAGCCCTTGACTTCCCTGCTGGCAAGGTTTTCCAGCTGAGGGTTTTCCATGTCTTCTTGTTCTTTTATCCAGAATGGGGATTAGAGTTCTAGGCGCTGGTCTGTGCTTGACAGTCCTTGTTTCTTTGACTATCAGATTTTATTTCTTAAGCTTTCTTAGTGTCTTTGTAAATTACATGAAATCCCTCTTATAACAAGGCTAGATATTAAATTTTATCTTGTTTTTCTTTTCTTTCTTTCTTTTTTTTTTTTTTTTTTT